ACAAATCCTAATGTCCCAATGACACAAACCTGAAGTAATTATATAAGGGTAATTATGTCATAGGATGAGCTGAGGCTTGCAAAAATATACTCTTCTAGGCTTTTTGTCACATAGCCTGCCGGAATTAATTGCAATAGAGGAATGGTAAAAAATAATAATAATGTGTGGATTTCATCCTGACTATATTTCTTTTGACGGGACACTGGCAAAGAAACATGTTCGGGCTAGTGCTGTGTTTGCAAGTCATACCCCAGGATTGATATTCAGTCTGTGTGATATTCAGCTAATTAACCTGTGGAAGCGAAGAACTGAGAGACATGATAATGCATCAGATGTTTTGATGGGCTCTCATACAGAAGGAGAATGGGTCTCCATTCTCACAGGGGTAGGTGGGTGTGGGACCCAAGGGTAGAAGCTGTCAGGCTCTAAGCACAAACACCTCTGACCTGTGGTTGTGTCCCAGATGCCTTGTGAGCTGATGAGAACTTGGGTGGGCTGCTGGTGAGGAGTTTCCCTTCTTGTGTGTCCCTGCTCCAGTGCTCTCTGCTTTGGAGGAATGAGGTCCTGAAGTGACCTGCGAATCGCTCCAGGTATTTCCTTTGTGGGGCTTGCTCAGTGTTGACGGCAGGAGTCCTGTGAGCAGAGCCTGAGGGAGTGCGGAAGGGAGTGGGGGCCCTCTGCAGGCTCAAGGACCTCTTGAAAGCTTTGCCTAGACCCTGGACCACTGGTGCCCACTGGCCTGGAGCTGGGGGATGGGGTCATTGGCTGAGGTCATCTCCTGAGGCTCCACTCAGAGGAAGGGCCTGCTAGGAAGCAGGGTGCCCAAGAATGCAAACGATTTCCTGGCAACAGCATCTCCCCTGCTTGGCCAAATGCCTGATGAAAAAGAGATGGGGTGTGTGGGGAAAATAGGAGAAAGAGAGTCGGAGAGCAGAAGGGAGGGAGTGAAAAAAGGCCAGCGCTTGTGCTGGGCATCGGGCATTTGGCACCTGCTGGCATTTGAGTGCCACCAGTTTGAGTCAGTAAGGGTCTAAAGTGAAGGAATGGCCCATCAAAAGGAAAAAAGTGAGTTTGTTATACCATCCAGATCCCTCCTTGATCTTCCCAGCTGGTGATGATGCTACCAGTAAGAGGAGAGGGACCTCTGGGGAAGGAGATGCTGACCACCGGAACTCTGTGAAGATTTACTTCGGGGCCACGATAGTATTACCTTAATACAGAGGTTCTTAAGGTGGGGGTGGTGGTGAGGGGAGGGGTAAAGCAAGATCATCCCCCCTGGGATATTTGGCAATGTCTGGAGACATTTTTAGTTGTCACATCATGGGGAAGGAGGTCCGTTTGGCATCCAGTGGGCAGAGGCCAGGGATGCTGCGAAAATTCCTATATTGCACGGGATGGCCCCCATAACAAAGAATTGTCCAGCCCAACATATCAGTGGTGCTGAGGTTGGGAAACCATGCCTAAAAGGGATTTAACACTGGAGGCCTCCATGCCCAGGGCCACCCATTGGAGCCAAAAGCTTTTCACAGGTTTCTGCTCTTACAGGTGAGGCATTCGAGGCTCAGAGAGTAAAGAGACTTGTCCAGGGACTCTGGCCTTAGATTGAGATGAGTAAGAGCCCTGGAGTAAGACAGAATAGTATTAAATCCCAGTTCAGTAAGTTAATATCCGTGTAGCTTGGGCAAGTTACTTCACTGCTTAGAGCCTTTATTTTTTTTTACTTGTTAAATGGGCATCACATAATAACTCCCTTACAGTATCATTTTAAGGAATATGTGAGATAATGCATGTAAAGTGCTTCACATAGTATATGGCATATAATAAATGGCACCTCTAATGAGTAGCAGAGCTAGAGGTAAAATCTTGTTTCCCATGCCCAAGTTCTGTTCTCTTTCCATTGTATCACTTTAATGAGTCCCAACCAAGGCTAGCCATCAGTTCTGAGAGGTTTGCAGGGCAGTGGTTGTGAGGTCTGGTACTTGACCCAAGTGGGCCTGGATTCAGAGTCCAGCTCTGCCACTTTCAAGCTGAGAAATTACTTCATCTCCCTCTAAGCCTCAGTTTTCCCATCTATAAAATGGGGGCAATGCTAATACCTGCTTTCTAGGCTTGTTGTGAGATTTAAAATGAAATTCATATTAAACACTTTACCCCAGAGTGTAGAGTAGAGTAAAGAATCATCGTATATTAGTTGTAGTTAATTTTTATGGCAGGTTGTCTCTCCCCAAAATGGCTGCCATAGTGTCTCTCATTCAATGTGCTTTTCTTCCAGTGCTATGGTAATTCCCCTTCTGCAAGAGGTGGGTATGTTTTTTCATGAATGTGGGTGGACCTAGGGCTCCGCCGGGAGCGATACTTTGTGACTTCTGAGACTAGGCCATAAGAAAGTGATACAGCTTGGGCTTGCTTCTCTTGGGATGCTCACACTGAAAACCCAGCCTCCATGCTGTCAGGAAGTCCAAGTCACCCCATGGAAAGGGCCACTTGAGGAGGAACTGACAGACTGTGTGAACCCTGCCAGACATCTGAATGAGTCATTGTAGGAGTGGAACCTCCAGTTCCAGTGAAGCTGCCCAGTTTACCTGAATGGAGGGAAATGATCTGGCTTCACTGAACCTTGTTCAGATTACAGATTCATGAACAAAATCAATGATCAGTGCCATTTGAAGCCACTGAATTTGGGGGGACAGCTTCTTATTCAGCAAGAGTAACTGGAACAATATTATTTTTATTAATTTCCCAAAAAAGAAATTTTCCTTCTGCCCATTTTACCTCTCAGTCTCAACATCAACACCAGGAAGAAAAGTAGATGTAGCAGGAAATGTTGCTGCTTCTCCCCAAATCCGTGTTTCTTCTGGGTATCTGGAGGATGATGACATGGCACCACCCATTGTGACTGAGCTCTATGGAGAGTGAGGAACCTGAGGGTTTATATGGGGACACAATTGGACAAATCTCTTTTTGGGAACAGATTAACTTCAGGGCCCAATTGTTATCTGATAGCTTGTAGACAAGGGGTTCCTAAGAACACACACTCATATTATTCTTTCCTTCCTTCCGCTTTGGTTTCCGCTATGGGTGTGGGAGTCAGGAATGACCCTTTCATCCATTTGCGTTCATTCAGTCCTCCATGCCTCACTTGTGGTTTCGAAGGATGTGAGGTGAGGATAGAGGACAAGGTCTGAGGACGAATTGAAGAAGATCTTTGTCCTTCTTAGGAAAGCAAACCAATTTTTTTATACCAGCTATGGTGTGTGGGGGTGTGTGTGTGTGAGATCGAAGGGCAGGGGGCAGTGTTATTGAAATTAGAAGTTCAAGAACTTCCCTGAGCACAGGAGTTGTTGGGAATCTCCTTTTACCCTGGTGGAAAGTTACCCAGCGTGACCACTCAGAGCCTCAGGGCTACTAGGCCCAGCGAGATTTCTTCTTGAGGGGTGAGGGCCACGTGAGAAGTCTGTGCTTCATTCACCAAGACAAACTAGCCCTTTTTGTGTTTTGCCAGAAGGATGGGATAATAATGAGCCATCTGCTCGCTCCCCATGGGAGCTCCACTGATGTACTTGTGAAAATGACCCCAGCTTTCTCGGAGCAGGTGTCCAAATCTGGGATCCCAGGTTGGGGGAAGGGCAGACAGTAGTTACTTGTTGGTTTCTGGAAAATTGACAATATGTTAGAAACACAACTTCCTCCTGCATCAAGTAGAAGAAGTTTACAGTTCTGAAAGCCTCATGTGCCTTGTTCTCTGCCTCCTCCACCTACATGTCTCCTCCTTTCTTGAGGGACCCTCAGAAGAGCTCTGGGTTCCACTCTAGTATGTTCTCAAAAGAATTGGTGGGAAGTGGATTTGATACTCCCTTAGTATTTCCCAGTAACCCTAGCACCGGAGGCCTACTTTGGAAATGGCTTGGAGAAAACGTTAGAGTGTGGCTGAAGGGTGCTTTTATTTTCAACAGAAAACAACTGTGGGCTTCTCAGGGCCTTTCCAGGCCGGGTTGGTATGAAGACTCAGCCTAACACCTTTGTGAAGTGGTGTTTGAGCAATTTGTAACGAAGAGGCACTTAAGGTGGGAGGTTCTTCCTTGTCTTCCCTACTTAGTTCTTCCTGTGTAAAAAAAACTGGCATGTTTCCTAATGATATTAACTTAAGAGGGAGTGATTTCTAGCATGTTACACACACGGGTTATGGAAGTCAAGAATCTAGCCTCTACAAGGCATCCAGCGAGGCTGTTTACTGAAAATGGTATGACTGGATATTTTTTAAAGGTGGCTGAATGGTTTGTGAGCTGAATGGGGCAGTGTGATGGGAAAGAGTGGTCTCTCTATTCTGTCTCTGGGGGAGGAAGATGGTGCTAAGAGAAGCCCCTGCGGGGAGACCAACCATGAATCACACCAACACGAGTGGGCTTGTTGGCAGAGAAAGTACTCAGAGCGCTCAGTGGCATTCAGTGGCTTTCCTGGGGGAGGAAGTAGTGCCTGTCCCTCTTTGCTGGGTCATGATGATCTCATTTTTTTTGGCTTTTCATAGTTGGCTGTGAAAATAGCCTCTCACCTCCAAAGAATCAGTTAAATCAGACAAGGAGTACAGAGAACGGCGTGAGTCATTTGCTTCCTTTTAGACTTCCCCGGGAGCTTGAGGGACAAACTGGGGAGGCCCCACCACCAGCACCACTTTGTGGATCCCTGGACAGAACTGCTAGTGAAGCAAATTCCTTTGAGGAAAGTGCAAGGGAAACAGGACAAGGAGAACCCTTTTCACCCCACCAGCAAGCTGTCCGTCACCGACTGCTCCCTGGTCAGACTGAGCTTGAGCTGTGAAGCGGTTTGCTGATGCTTGCCAAAATGCCCTTCCTGGTTGGGGCCCCGCTTCCCTGGTGGTCACAAGGGACTGGACTTTACCAGGGAGTGAGGCTAGACTCCAGCACGACTGGAGGCTCCTTATCTGGCCCCTACCGGGGATCTTGGGGCAGCTCCGGGCTGCCCTCACCATGTGACTGGCGATAGCAGTGACTCAGCTGGAAGCGAAGAAGGAGCTGGTGTCATCAGCTGTTGTTAGGAAAGAACGGAGGAGCCTGGGGGAAACTCTCCAGTCCTGAGAGGACGGGAGGCATGAGGTAGGTTGCCTAGTAACTGTTCCAGCACCTCTCTTCACCCGCCTTTCAGGCTGCTGGCGCCTCTTGTCAGCTCCTACTTCTCATTTTTTCCCTTCAGAGCTGCCCTCTGTATACCTTTTAACCAGACTTCACCCAGCTAAAAATGCTCCTGGGGGAGTGGAACGTGGGTCGGGGGTAGCCAGGGCACATTTTCTTCTGGATCATGGAATGTCTTAGAGAGTTCTGCTCTGTATTGGTCTTCCTAAGGGGAGGACAGTATTCTGAACACTACTGTTCAGAACTCACACGCTACACCCAGATCTGGGTTCAGATCCAGGGCCAACACGTATTAGATGTGCAAGTTTCTTAATTCCTCAGTGTTGTAGTTTTTCTTTCTATAAAACAGGGAGAATAATAGTGTCTACCTCAAGTGAGGCAATGTGAGGATTTAGTGTGGATAGATAAATAGATGGGAGATAGAGAGAGAGATCGATACAGATAGACAAACTTAGAATAGCGCCTCATGTGTAGAAACTCTGCATATTTGTCAGTTATTAATAGTCCTGGAGGACAGCCAGATGCAAAACTTGCTCTCAAGTAGCTGGGGAAGGAGCCCCAGAGCTCTAGTTTCGGAGATCTGGCTCCAGGCCTGGTTCTTACAGTGGCTTGCTGTGGGGTCTTGAGCAAGTAGGAACCTTCCTTGTCTGCCTTCAGGCTCTTCATCTGCAAGATCAGAGGACAGGGCTGGAAGGCCCTGAATTTACTCACGGTCTTCCTTGCCTTACGACATTGGGACATGGATTGAATTATGAACAACCTCTGTTGCACAGTTACGGGGGAAATTAGAAAATACGGCAGTGAGAGGAGCTTCTCGTTGAGCCCAGAGTGATGGTTTGGGGGAGTCATGGGGAGAGTCACCCCCCATAGCCTCAGACAGGAGAACTGCCTAGGTCAGACCAGGTAAGGGGCCAGGCAGCCCTGCTCATGGCTAGATCTCCTCATATTTATTTCTGGTGGTTGCCCTAGGGATTACAATATGTATACCTAACTTTTCACATTGCATTTCAATTTAATATTTGACCATTTCAAGTAGAATGTAGAAACTCACAACTATATACGTTCCTTTACCCTTCCTCCTTTATGTTACATATGTCATAAATGTTATATCTGCATACATTAAGAGCCCCCTACTCTCCAACGATGTTAAAATTTTGGCTTTTAATAGTCATACACATTTTGAAAACCTAAGAGGAAAAAAAGTAGTTTATTATGTTTATTCAGATGTTTACCATTTCTGTTGCTCTTCCTTCTCTGAAGTTTTAATTTTCCCTATGGAATCATTTCCTTCTCTCCAAAGAACTTCCTTTAACATTTATTTTAGAGCAGGTCTGTTGGCAATGAAAGCTTTTAGTCTTCCTTTATCTGAGAATGTCTTTGTTTCGTTCCTGAAGGGTATGTTCATGGGATGTAGAATTCTGAGTTGACCGTTCTTCTCTTTCTGATCTGCATGTTTACTGTCAGAAACCTACAGTGAAATTTTTATTCTCCTACTTGTAACATGTCGTTTTTCTCTGTCTGCTTTCAAAATTTCTTTATTTCCTTTGGTTTTTACAGTTTGATTATGATGGTTTCATTTGGATTTGTCCTGTTTGATGTTCCCTGAGCTTCTCGCATCTGTAAATTTATGTCTTTCACTGAGTTTGGGAAATTTATTGTCATTATTTCTTCCAAAAACTTTTTTCCATACCAATATCTTTTTCTTCTCCTTAGGGGCTCTGAGCACATGTACATTATATCTTTTTATATAGTTCCGCAGGTCCTGAGGCTCTGTGAATTTTTCAGCCTATTTTCTGTCTGTTCTTTTTGTTTTATTTTTTAATTTTTAAAAAATTTTTTGGAGAGAGATCATGCGCGTGCACACATGTGCAAGCGGGGTGGGGGAGGGGTAGAGGGGGAGAGAGAGAGAGAGAGAGAGAATTTTTAAAAAAATTTTTATTGTTATGTTAATCACCATATATTACATCATTTGTTTTGGTGTAGTGTTCCATGATTCATTGTTTGTTCATAACACCCAGTGCTCCACGCAGAATGTGCCCTCTTTAATACCCATCACCAGGCTAACCCATCCCCCTACCCTCCTCCCCTCTAGAAACCTCAGTTTATTTTTCAGAGTCCATCATCTCTCCTGGTTCGTTTCCCCCTCCGACTCACTCCCCTTCATTCTTCTGAGAGAGAGAATTTTAAGTAGGCTCCACACCCAGCATGGAGCCCCATGTGGGGCCCAATCTCATGACCCTGAGATCATGACCTGAGCTGAAATAAAGAGCTGGACACTTAACCAACTGAGCCACCCAGATGCCCCTTTATTTTTTAATTTTTATTGGAGTATAGTTGATGCACAATGTTATATTAGTTTCAGGGTACTGTGTAGTCATTCAACTTCTCTATACGGTATACTATGCTCACCATAAGTGTAGTTACCATCTGTCATGATACATTGCTATTATAATATCATTGCCTGTATTCTCTATGCTGTGCCTTTTATTTCTATTATTCATTTCATAATTGGAAGCCTGTGTCTCTCCCTACCCATCATCCATTTTGCCCATCCCTCCACCCCCTCTTACAATACAGAGTTTGTTCTCTGTATTTATAGGTCTCATTCTGCTTTTTGTTTGTTTACTCATTGGTTTTGTTTTTAAAATTCCACATATAAGTTAAATTGTATGGTATTTGTCTTTCTCAGTCTGATTATTTCACTTAGCATAATACTCTCTAGGTCCATCCATGTTGTTGTACAAACCATCATCTCTTTTTAATGGCTGCCTAATATTCCACCACACACACACACACACACGCACACACACACACACACACACACCATCTTCTTTATCCATTTGTCTATTGATAAACACTTAAGTTGCTTCCATATCTTAGCTATTGTAAATAATGTTGCATTAAACATAAGGGTGCATATATCTTCTCAAATTAGTATTTTTTATTTCTCTGAGTTAATACCACTAGTAGAATTATTAGGTCATATGATATTTCTATTTTTAATTTTTTGAGGAAGCTCCATATTATTTTCCACAGTGGCTGTGCCAATTTACACTCCCACCAGCAATGTACCAGTGTTCTTTTTTCTCCACACCCTCACTAACACTTGTTATTTCTTGTCTTTTTGATTTTAACCATTCTTCTCACAGGGGTAAGGTAATATCTCATTGTGGTTTTGATTTGCATTTCCCTGATGATGAGTGATGTTGAACATCTTTTCATGTGTCTGTTGGCCTTCTGGATGTCTTCTTTGGAGAAATGTCTATTCCGGTCCTCTGCCCATTCTTTAATTGGATTATTTATTTCTTTGGTATTGAGTTGTGTGAGTTCTTTATGCATCTTCTCCAACCACAAATGGTATGAAACTAAAAATCAGTCACAAGAAAATAATTGAAATCACAATCACGTGGAGGTTGAATAACACGATACTAAACAACCAGTGGGTCAATGAAGCAATAAAAAAATAGATCAGAAAATACATGGAGATAAATGAAAATGGAAACAGAGTGGTCCAAAATCTTTGGGATGCAGCAAAAGCAGTTCTAAGAGGGAAATATATAGCAATACAGGCCTACTTCAAGAAAAAGAAAAAACTCAAATAAAGAATCTGACCTTACACTTAGAGGAACTAGGAAAAAAGAGCAAAGTGCAAGGTGAATAGAAGGAAGGAAATGATACAGATCACAGCAGAAATAAATGACATAGAGCCTACAATAACAGTAGAAAAATCAATGAAACCACAAGCTGGTTATTTGAAAAGATTAACAAAACTTAGTTGGAAAGAGAAGAAGGACGCAAATAAATAAAATCAGAAATGAAAGGGGAGCAGTAGCAACTGACAACACAGAAATATAAGGGATTATAAGAGAATACTATGAAAATTTATATGCCAACAAACTGGACAACCTAGAAGAAATGAATAAATTCTTAGAAACATAAAATCTTCCAAAACTGAATCAGGAAGAAAGAGAAAATCTGAACAGACCAATTACTAGTAGTGAAATTGAATCAGTAATAAAAAAATTACCAAAAAGTAAAAGTTCAGGACCACATGGTAGGATTCACAGGTGAATTCTACCAAACATTTAAAAAGGAGCTGATGCCTATTCTTCTCAAACTATTTGAAAAAATAGAAGAGGAAGAAAAGCTGCCAAATACATTCCACAAGGCCAGCATTACCTTGATCCCAAAACCAGACACCATGGGAAAAAAAAAAAAAAAAAACACCTACAGGCCAATATCCCTCAGGAATATGGATGCAAAAATTCTGAACAAAATATTAGTAAATTGCACTTAACATTAATTAAAAGGATCATTCACCAAGGTTAAGTAGGATTTATTTCAGGGATGAAAGGATGCTTCCTTATTCACAAATCAATTGACATGATATAACATATCAACAAAACAAAGGATAAAAATCATATGATAATCGCAATATGCACAAAAAGCATTTGACAAAATTCAATATCCATTCATGATAAGAACTCTCACAAAGTAGGTTTAGAAGGAACATACCTCAACATAATAAGACCCACACATTATATCATACTCATTGGTGAAAAACAGAGTTTTTCCTCTAAGATCAGGAACAAGACAAAAATGTCCACTCTCACCACTTTTATTCACCATAGTACTGGCAGTCCTAGCCACAACAATCAGACAAGAAAAAGAAATGAGGTATCCATATTGGTAAAAAAGAAGCTAAACTGTCACTACTTGCAAATGACATAATACTATATGTAGAAAGCCCTAAAGACTCCACCAAATAAACCTACTAGAATTAGTAATAAATGAGTTCAATAAAGTTGTAAGATACAAAATTAATACCCAGAAATTGGTAGCATTTCTGTCTGTTCTTTAGAGAATTTCTGTTTATATATCCTCAAATTAAGGAATGTTCTTTTTGGTTCTTTTTACTTTTTTGAAGACAGACTCCAATTATTTGAGTCTCTCTGGTGAACTTT